CAATTGGCTGGCTCCTGTATGATCCCAGACCAGAGCCTGGGCCAGGTACGTGCCCTTGGCTGGAATCAAACTTGGGACCCTTTGGTTTGCAGGCCGACACTCTATCCATTGAGTCAAACTGGCTAGGGCCCCAATTCATTTCATGAAGGTAACACAACTTGTAAACCTTTTTTGGTGAAGTATAACATGCATGATAAAACTTTACAGTTGTTGCCCTGGCCCGTTTTGCTCAGTGGATAGAACATTGGCCTGTGGACTTGAGAGTCCCAGGTTTGATTCTGGTCAAGGGCATGCACCTTGGTTGTGGGCACATCCCCGGTAGTGGGTGTGCAAGAGGCAGCTGATAGATGTTTCTCTCTCATTGATGTTTCTGGTTCTCTATCCCTCTCCCTTTATCTCTGTAAAAAAATCAATAAAATATATTAAAAAAAGATGAAATGAAAGCCTCACATTAAATTAAAACAACTACAACAACAAAAAAATCCTAATATAATCACACTTATACTTTTTTGGTAACAGTTTACAGAAACTTTACTTGGTAATATCAAGGTGAAGTTATGCCTTTTACAAACTAATTGTAACAGACACTCTCGGTGCCTAACTCCCAGTCTCTTGTCCTTTCTTGCTTATTGGTGGGGTCCCAAATATGTCTGTGTCTTCATCTTTCCTCATGTAACTCAGGGATACATCCTGGCAAGGTCAGGCTGCTCATGGTGCTTTCATTTCCTTTGCCTCTTTGAAGGATCTGGGTTTGGTGTTCAGTTCTGGCCAAAGATGGGTGAGGGCAGCTGCTGGATGGTTTCTGGGAAAGGTCCCCCTGTTCTTAGAGAGGCACAGGAGGAATGGCTCTTCTTTTCCAAAGGGATGCTGCTATGTATTTAGGGGATTATTGAGGTGGTAGCAGGCATTTTGCTAAGGAGGTACTTTACTGAGGAGCTGACTCATGAAGGATGGAAAGACAGAAAAACAAACAAATCCTGGCTTCCTTTTTTTTTTTAAACTTAATTTTTACATTTATTTATTAATTTGTTTTTAGGAAGAGGGGAAGGGAGAGGAATAGAGAGATTAGCTGCATCCTGCATGGTCCCTACTGGAAATTGAGCTGGCAACCTGGATATGTGCCAGACTGGGAATCAAACAGGGGACCTCTTGGTTCATGGGTTGATGCTCAACCACTGAGTTATACCAACCAGGCAAACCTTGGCTTCTTGATGATGCTGTTGAGCCCCAGAGCAAACAACCCTAGAGCCAGTCTGTCCTATGGGCTGCTTCTTTTCTGCAATAATAACCTTTCCTTATTGTTTGAACCATTTGAGTAGAGTGAAGGGGATCAATGGGGAAAAAGGAACATCTGTAATACTTTCAATAATAAAGGTAAATGAAAAAAAAAAACCAGTTTGAATTTTCATCCTGTAGGCAACAGAGAGGTTGGGACTTGTAAGCTAGAAAGGAATGAGCCGCAGAGCCTTGCACAGGGCATAGACACAAGCGTTCCCACTTGGTTAAATTAGTTTGGTGGCTGAATGTACCTTTCTCAGGCGCAGACCAGGCCTCCTTGCTTCTTCATCCACCCCTACAACCCTAAGCATGACCATTGGCAGGGGTGAACCAACCTGGGAGGCCAGCAAGTGTGTGTGTGTGTGTGTGTGTGTGTGTGTGTGTGTGTGTGTGTGTGTGTTTGTCTGTCTGTCTACGTGTTCAGATGGAGGGGACTTCCCAGTCACACTCCACCTTCTTTTTTTTTCTTCCTTTTTTTCTTTTTGTCTTTGGAATTCTTCATTTCATTAAGGTTTCCACAAAATACAACGCTCCAACAACGTCATTGTCTACGTCCACCACAAAACAGAATCGAATGAGTGGTTAACACACAAACATAATGATCCTTTTCATTTCTTAAAAATATATAAATAACAACGTCCAAGGCTTTACAAATTTCTGTTGTGTGTGTGTGTGTGTGTGTGTGTGTGTGTGTATGTGTGTGTGTTTTTTTTTTAAGGCTTTATGCTGCAGACCCTTCACCAAGGAGTCCTTGTACCTGTAGTCAGGAGGCACGGCCCACACTGAGGCAGGCTATGGTGGACACGTTCCTGAGGGCGACACACACCGATCCCTGTTTGCCTAACCCTGTGGGAAACAAAATCGTCCAAACACCCTCCGATCCGTTCTCACAGTGTCATTAATTTTCCTTCTATTACAAAGTAAAAACAGAAAGGGCTAAGTTCCCAGCAGGATTCAAGCTCTCAGGTCAATCATGAAGGGTGAGAAGGAAAATACAGGCTGTTTTCCCGGGCCTGGCGGCCAGCCAAGGGGCCCAGTGTGCTGGGGCCGGGCGCCCGACACTTCACCTTGCTGGGCTAGGTGTTAATTTCTTCTTTGTGCATATTTTCTGTCCAAACCGTCTCTGCTTCTTCATTCCATCCTCCTCCCACAAAGATAAAGGTCTGCACCCAAAACTGCCTAAGCCCTGCCTTCCTGAGCTGGGGCCAAGTTCTGTGCTGCCCAGAGCATGTGGCCAGGCCTGGTTGATTGAAGACCTGCCATCTATCCACACCCTGCAATTCTGCAATTGCAAAACAAGGCTTGGTGGGGCAAGGGCGGGGTCTTGAGTCCTTTTATTAGGCACCCCCATTCTTCTTTCCCCTCAGAAGGCAAGTAACATCTCTGTGGAAGATGGGTGTCTACCGCATCCGCGTGTCCACTGGGTCTTCGCTCTTCGCGGGCTCCACCAATCAGGTGCAGCTGTGGCTGGTGGGCCAGCACGGGGAAGCCGCGCTCCGGGAGCATTTTCGGCCTGTGCTGGGCAAGGTGAGCTGGCCCCCACCTTAGGACCTCACTTACCTGGGAAGAGACCTGCACTGGGAGGAGCGGGGCACACAGAGATCGCCCTCTGGCTTCCTTGGGATGGAGAGGATCTCCTGCAGCTCTTCACAGAGCTCTCTCTTTTTGCGGAGATCTTGGAGGCACTGCATGTCTCTGGTTTCCTCTATTTTATTTGCAGAAGAGGGAGGGAGAGAGTGGGGGAGGGGTGAAGGAGAAAAGGAGGGAGGAAGAGAGAGAGAGAGAGAGAGAGAGAGAGAGAAGGAGAAGAGAGAAGAGAAAGAAGGAGAGGAGAGGAGAAAAAGAAAGAGAAGAGAGGAGAGGAGAGAAGAGGAGAGGAGAGGAGAGGAGAGGAGAGGAGAGGAGAGGAGAGGAGAGGAGAGAGAGAAATAGAAAGAGGAGAGGAGAGGAGAGAAGAGGAGAAGAGAGGACCAGATTTTGTTCCATTTACTCATGCGTGGTTGAGTCTTGTATGTGAACCTGGAACTTTGGGGTGTCAGGTCACGCTCTAACCTACTGAGCTACCTGGCCAGGGACGCTGCCTTCACTCGGAAACTCTATTTCAAACCTCTTCCACCGAGGCGGGGAGGAGAAATTTCCTGATCCCTTCCCCTCTCTCATCACATATACCGGTTCTGCCACTTTTTCTTCCCCATTTCCCATCCCCACATTTCCGTCCCCCACCCGACTCTTTCCAGGACCTCCAGATCTGGATGTCTGTCCCGCGGGTGCCTCAAAGGAACTTGCCAAGCGAGGTCCTCCCTTTCCCACCCCCACACCTCTCCCCTTGCCTTCCCGGAGGTGTCAGGTGTCATTCTGTTCTGTTCACCTGGAACCAAGAATCAAACGCTGTCAATTCTGCCTCCTGGACATCTCTGGCTTCCGGGTTCAGATGCCTGACACACCCCCGACCACCAGTGTCTCTACCCACCCCCGACCATCAGTGCCCCCGTGAACCTATGCCACCTTCAGCCTCTTCCCAGCCTCCCCCTTCCTTTCTTGACCTTCCAGCCCCTCTGCAGCCAGATCAATTTCATCCAAATACACCCCCAGCCTCATAAGACCTCCCCGAAAACATCTGAATGGCTTCTGCCGGTTCTCAGGGCCACCTTCTTGGGTTACCCTTGGAGACTGTTCAGGATCTAGTCATGCTCATCTCCCACGCGCTCTGTGCTGCACTCACCCTCTATGCTCTCGCTTCCTCTCCTTGGCACGCATTTCTCCAACCTTTCCTCTCTCTCACTTTCCCTGGCTAATCCCTTCACACCCAGAGGCCTCTGCTCACACCCAGTGGAGGGGGCACTGGGTCTCTGGGCTGTAAGTGCCTGGTCAACAGTGTATCTCCCCGCGCAACTGTGGGCTCACCCGGGGTGGTGCCCACCTCAGTGCTGGGTTGGATCAATGACTGCGAGGAGGAAAGAGGAGGAAGAGGAAGAAAGAGGAGGAGATAGGGCAGGAAGGAGTGCTTCTTCCCTTTTCAGCCTCACCCCGGGCTGAAAATCTCCAAGACACATAATGGGGACATGGGAACATCTTGGTCTGGGAGCCCCCTTTCTCTGTTTGACTCCTTTTGCTGTGCTTTCCCAGAGGCCCAACCTAAGGGCCAGGGAAGGGAGCTGGGCTCAGTCCCAGTCGCCACTACAGGTGATGGCCATGGATGCTGAGCCTCTTGTGTTGCCTGCAGGAGACGGAATTCCAGGAGGATGTGAAGGAATCCCTAGGGCCACTGCTGTTTGTGAAAATGCGCAAAAAGCAATTTCTACAGGATGACGCCTGGTTCTGCAACTGGATCTCCGTGCAGGGCCCTGGAGCCAGTGGGGAGGAGTACTGGTTCCCCTGCTACCACTGGGTGGAGGGCAGTGGCATCTTGAGCCTTCCCGAGGGCACAGGTGAGCTCAGGGTGGGGTGTGAGGAGGCCTCTGGGGCCCAAGAGAAGCTAGGGTTGGGGGAGAGGAGGAGAGGGAACAGGGTATGAGGGCGGGAACCTGAGGGCTGGGTCTTTTTTCCTTTGGGAAAGGTGGATTGCTGGAGTTGGCAGCAGGCTGGTGAGGGGCATGATGCTAAAGGCTCATCCCTCCCCTTCAAGGGTGAACTGAGAAGGCACCCCTGGCAGGGACAGGGGGAGGCTCTCAGGAGAAGCCTCATTGTCCATGCCCTTGTCCTTTCCTTCCCTCATCCTCTAGGCCGTACTTTGGTAGAGGACCCTCAAGGCCTGTTCAAGAAACACAGAGAGGAGGAGCTGGAAGAGAGAAAGAAGCTGTACAAGTTAGCTTAGCCCTACCCCTGCGGCCCCCCCCCCCTCCCCCAATGACCTGGCAGTGAGTCCTGGCCCTTCTTGGCATCAATGCCTAATTTCATTTCTGCACCACAGATGGGGTAACTGGAAGGATGGGTTAATCCTGAATGTGGCTGCTGACAATTTAGATGATCTCCCGCAAGATGAGAGGTTTCTGGAGGACAAGAGAATTGACTTTGAGTCTTCACTGGCCAAGGGGTGAGAACAGTGCGAGCTGAAGGAGAGGGAGGCATTCTGGCCCAGGCTTCTATGCACTGAACAGGGCTGGATTAGCCCAAGGGGGTGCTTATAGTTATAATGTGTGATTTTTTGACTAACTTTCAAATGTTTTGCCTATTCTTACCTGAAGGCTGGCCAAAATAGCTGTCAAAGACTCTTTAAATGTTCTTGTTCGTTGGAATGATCTGGATGACTTCAACAGGATCTTCTGGTATGACCACAGCAAGCTGGCTGGTCAGTATCCCTACCCAGTACTTCTCCCAGAACCTTCATCACCCAATTTAGTGAACCAGAGCTGAAAGGCCTGTGTTATGGGTTCCTCCCATGGGCTGGGGCAAGAGGGAATGGTTTGGTGGGGGTTAGAAGAATCAGGGCACCAGATCTCACAACCTGCTCCACAACTGCCACCCTCAGAGAAGGTGCGGGATTCCTGGAAGGAGGATGCCTTATTTGGGTACCAGTTTCTCAATGGCGCCAACCCCATGCTGCTAAGGCGCTCCAGTAGCCTTCCTGCCCGCCTAGTGTTCCCTTCAGGGATGGAGGAGCTGCAAGCCCAGCTGGAGCAGGAGCTGAAGGTATGGACATGATGGCCCAAAGGAGGCCACACAGTGAAATGGGGGTGTGATCTGTGTGTATGCTGCTCCAAGCCCCACTATGAGCCCAATTTGCCCCCAAATGCAAGAGGGGATTCTACAGAGAAAATCCTGGAGATGTGCAACCACATGGCCTTCCCTTCAGCTGAGAAAAGTATATTGGAAGGAAGAGTGTGAGATGGGTGATAGATGCAATCAAAATGAGGAAATAACTGGGCCTTGGTGCTAAGGATTTGGGGGAATGTGTAGTAAGAGAATCAGATTGGGGGGGGGTTATTAGTCAGGAGTCAACATGGATCAATTGATGGGTTGGGCAGTCAAAATTCCTGAATTATAAGGTGAAACAGATTTGGGTTTGAATCCTGGTGTGCTGTTTACAAACCATGTGACTTTAGGCAAGTTATCTATCTTATTTTATCATGTTTCCTTTTTTTTTTTTTTTTTAAAAAAAAAACCAAACAAAAAACTGTGGATTTAATTCAAGTGCTTGTAAGACTTATGTGAAGCAATAGCATGTGATTCATTACCTGTTACAAAGTAGGTGATGGAGATAAGTTAGTTTCCTTCTTGTTCTTCTTCCTTTGGGGGATCAGGGTGGGAAGTAGATGCCTTATACTGATAGCCCTCACCCTCTGCCCCCATCCAGGGAGGCACGCTGTTTGAAGCTGACTTCTCCCTGCTGGATGGGATCAAGGCTAATGTCATCCTATGTAGCCAGCAATACCTGGCTGCCCCTCTGGTCATGCTGAAACTGCAGCCTGATGGGAAACTCTTGCCCATGGTCATCCAGGTGAGAGGACCCAGAATTTCTGCTCCCTGGTGGTTGGCCCTCTCAGCTCAGCCCTTCACCCAAATTCATTATGGATTCTCTTGTGCTAAAGCACTGGAGGTGTCCATAAAGGATGCAATGGACAAAGGCAGAAAGGTGTGGTCTAGCTGGAGAGAGAGATTGGGAAAATCTAACTATGCTCCAGGGCTGAGGAAGTACCTGAGGAAGGAGATAGTGTGGGAGGGGTCATGGGAAGTGGGGTGCGTATAGCTATGGCAAAGGAGCAGGACCTCTTCCCAGGGGAAGATGGGTTCGGTAGCGAGTCTCAGGAGTGCAGAGTATGAGAAGTTAGATTGTCAGTGGACAATTTGGCTGGTGTGCTGGTGGGTAATGTGAGGGCCCAGACTGTAGTGGGTGGTGGATGCAAAATCAAAAAGGAGTGTGAACACAGGAAACTGGTGTATGCTGTTGGGAACCATGTTATAGACACATTCTATGGGTCATTTTGTGTAGGATGGATTGGAGAAGTGAGATGCTATTCCAGAGATAAGGGTGTCAGGCTACATCAATTGCCCAAGGTGGGGGTAATGGACTCAGTTTTTGGGAATAGCTGAGGGGTATAGAGGAAAGCTATATAGGCATACATAGGAAAATTAAACTGTCCTTGATTCAAGAGGAAAAAGAAAAGGAAGAGTTAGGCAAGACACCTGCAGAAATAGGACAAATAAAGAGGAAAAGATGCTCAAGTGGGCTTTTGTCTGGGCAATTATAAGGGAGTTAGAGGCCCGATGCATGAACTTTGTTTAAGAGTAGGCTTCCCTCTGGAACCTGGAACCTGGGCTTCTCTTGTAGCCACAGTTTCATCTGGAATGTCATCCGGAAGGATGTCTGGTCTAATTAGCATATTACGCTTTTATAGATGGGGAAACACTCAAATTTTACATCTAGCTAGTGACTAGCTGATAACTGGAGACTTAACCTGTTTAATAGGGATGGTGCTGAAAGATTAGGGAGAAGCTGAAATTTCTGAAAAAGTGCAGGATAAAGGAAGCAGAGGATTTGAATCTTCTCTACACGGAGGGGAGTGAAAGGGGAAGTGGGGCCCTGGAAGTTGGTAGAAGAGGAGCTTCTGCAGAAGGCCAGGCAGAGCAGCTTGGACAATGCTAATGCACTGAGTGGGTAGGAAAGTCAGGAGAAGGAATAGTTGCTGCTGGGAGTAGCAGCAGTGAGATGGAGAAAGCTAAGTATATTTTGGGAAGAAGGGAGTTGTTAAAATGTAAAGGAGGGGGAATCTGCTGGGCACCTGGGCACTCATCCTCTTTTCCCCACACTGTATTCTTGCTCCAGCTCGAATTGCCACGCACGGGATCCCCACCACCAACACTTTTCCTGCCCACGGATCCCCCGATGGCCTGGCTTCTCGCCAAATGCTGGGTCCGCAGTTCTGACTTCCAGCTTCATGAGCTTCTCTCTCATCTTCTGAGGGCACATTTGATGGCTGAGGTTATCGCTATGGCCACCATGAGATGCCTTCCATCGATACACCCTATCTTCAAGGTAATACCTTATCACCTTCTCTCCTGCCTGTCTCTCTGCCCATGGCACAGTCCAACATCTGGAGGCACCCTCTCTGTGGAATCTCAGGGAGTGAGGAAAAGCCAACCAATGAGAGAGAAGGGAGCAAGAGAGTGAGGTGGCTTGTTTTGCATTTTCAACAGGGTGACATCACCTCCGAAGGAGGTGGAAATTATTAATTGGCAAGGTGGGGGATGAAAGGGTGGGAGGTGACACTGTATGAAGCACTGTATATAGACAGTGCCCATAAATGATGGAGGATTCTATCTCAAAAGGGAAGACCAAGCAAATAACATAGAAGTCTTTTCCAGCCAGTTTTGACCTGTCCTAAAATAGTAATACACTGTCCAGTTAAACAGACTCAGGTACACAACAGTGGTCTATTTTTTTTTTTTTTTATTTTATTTTTTTATTTTTATTTTTTTTTATTTTACATATTTTATTGATTTTTTTTTGCCCCCCTCCTTCCCTCCCATGTATCCCCTCCCTCCCCAGAGTTTTATGTCCATTGGTTGTACTTATATGCAGGTATACAAGTCCTTGGGTTGATTTATTGTCTCCCCCAGACCCTCCTCCCCTCCCCGTTGTAATTTGACAATCTGCTTGTTGCTTTACTGTCTCTATATCTATCTTTTGGTTCATCAGTTTATAATGATCTTTATTATCCACAAATGAGTGGGGTCATGTGGTGTTTCTCTTTCATTGATTGGCTTATTTCACTCAGCATGATGTTCTCCAATTCCATCCAGGTTGCTGCAAATGATGAGAATTCCTTCTTTTTTATGGCAGCATAGTATTCCATTGTGTAGATGTACCAAAGTTTTTGGATCCAATCATCAGCTGACGGGCACCTCGGCTGTTTCCAGATTCTGGCTATTGTAGATTGTGCTGCTATGAACATAGGGGTGCATATATCCTTTCTGATTGGTGTTTCTAGTTTCTTGGGATATATTCCAAGAAGTGGGATTACTGGGTCAAATGGGAGTTCCATTCTCAGTTTTTTGAGGAAACTCCACACTGTTCTCCACAGTGGTTGCACCAGTCTGCATTCCCACCAGCAGTGCACGAGGGTTCCTTTTTCTCCGCAACCTCGCCAACACTTGTCGTTTGTTGATTTGTTGATGTTGGCCATTCTGACAGGTGTGAGATGGTACCGCATTGTTGTTTTGATTTGCATCTCTCGGATAATTAGTGACTTTGAGCATGTTTTCATGTGCCTTTTGGCCTTCTTTCTGTCTTCTTTTGTAAATATTCTATTTAGGTCCATTGCCCATTTTTTAATTGGATCATTCATCTTCCTTTTATTTAGTTGTATCAGCTGTCTGTAGATGTTGGAGATTAAACCTTTATCCGTGGTATTATTTGCAAATATATTCTCCCATACCGTGGGCTTTCTTGTTGTTTTGTTGATGGTTTCTTTTGCTGTAAAAAAACTTTTTATTTTGATGTAGTCCCATTTGTTTATTTTCTCTTTAGCTTACATTGCCCTAGGGGCAGTATCAGTGAAGAAGTTCTTTTGGCATACGTCTGAGATTTTGCTGCCTGCGGATGCTTCTAGTATTTTTATGGTTTCCCGTCTGATGTTTAAGTCCTGTATCCATTTTGAGTTTATTTTTGTGTATGGTGTAAGTTGGTGATCTAGTTTCATTCTTTTGCATGTGTCTACCCAATTTTCCCAACACCATTTATTGAAGAAACTGTCTTGACTCCATTGTATATTCGTGCCTCCTTTGTCAAATATTAATTGAGCATAGTGATTTGGGTTGATATCTGGGTTCTCGATTCTATTCCATTGATCTATATGTCTGTTCTTGTGCCAGTACCAGGCTGTTTTGAGAACAGTGGCTTTGTAATACAGTTTGAAGTCTGGTATTGAGATCCCTCCTACTTTACCCTTCTTTCTCAGGATTGCTGTGGCTATTCGGGGTCTTTTATTGTTCCAAATGAACTTTTGGAGAGTTCTTTCTAGGTCGGTGAAATATGCCGTTGGTATTTTAATGGGGAGTGCATTGAACCTATAGATTGCTTTAGGAAGTATGGACATTTTGATGATGTTGATTCTACCGATCCATGAACATGGTATATTCTTCCATCTCTTTACATCTTCCTCTATCTCTTTTTTCAGTGTCATGTAGTTTTCTGCATATAGGTCCTTTACTTCCTTAGTTAAATTTATTCCTAGGTACCTTAATTTTTTTGGTGCGATGGTAAATGGAATTGCTTTTTTAATCTCTATTTCTATAGTTTCGCTGTTGGTGTATAGAAATGCCGTGGATTTCTTGGCATTAATTTTGTATCCTGCTACATTGCCAAATTCATTTATTAAGTCAATTAGTTTTTTAATGGAGTCTTTTGGGTTTTTTATGTACAGTATCATGTCATCTGCAAATAAGGATAACTTTACTTCTTCTTTTCCAATTTGGATGCCTTTTATTTCCTCCTCTTGTCTAATTGCAATGGCTAGTACTTCCAGTACTATGTCAAACAGGAGTGGCGAGAGTGGGCATCCCTGTCTTGTTCCTGTTCTTAGAGGGAATGGTTTTAGTTTTTGCCCATTGAGTATAATGTTGGCTGTGGGTTTATCATATATAGCTTTTATTATGTTGAGGTATGATCCTTGTACTCCCACCTTGTTAAGAGTTTTTATCAGGAAAGGGTGTTGGATTTTATCAAATGCTTTTTCTGCATCAATTGATATGACTATATGATTTTTATCTTTCAGTTTGTTTATGTGATGTATCACGTTTATTGATTTGCGGATATTGTACCATCCTTGCATTCCTGGAATAAATCCTACTTGGTCATGGTGTATGATCTTTGTGATGTTCATCTGGAGTCTATTTGCTAGAATTTTGTTGAGGATTTTGGCATCTATGTTCATGAGGGATATTGGCCTGTAATTCTCTTTCATTGAGTTGTCTTTATCTGGTTTTGGTATTAGGGTGATGCTGGCTTCATAGAAGGAGTTTGGAAGTGTTCCTTCCTCTTGGATTTTTTGGAATAGTCTGAGGAGGAAAGGTTTTAGTTCTTCCTTGAATGTTTGGTAAAACTCTCCTGTGAAGCCATCAGGCCCTGGGCTTTTGTTTGCTGGAAGCTTTTTGATGACTGTTTCAATTTCTTCCCACGTCACTGGTCTATTAAGATTTTTAGATTCTTCCTGATTGAGTTTTGGAAGGTTGTATTTTTCTAGGAATATGTCCATTTCGTCCAGGTTGTTCAGTTTGTTGGAATAGAGTTGTTCGTAGTATTTTGTAACAATCTGTTGTATTTCGGTGGGGTCTGTTGTTATTTCACCTCTTTCATTTCTGATTTTGTTTATTTGGGTCCTCTCTCTTTGTTTCTTGGTTAGCCTGGCTAGAGGTTCATCTATCTTGTTTATTCTTTCAAAAAACCAGCTCTTGGTTTTGTTGATCTTATGTATTGTTTTTTTGGTCTCTATGTCGTTTATCTGTGCTCTGATTTTTGTTATTTCCTTCCTTCTGCTTACACTGGGCTTTTCTTGTTGCTCCTTTTCTAATTCTTTGAGTTGTAGAGTTAGATCATCTGTTACCCTTTTTTCTAGTTTTTTGCAATAGGCTTGTAAGGATATGAACTTCCCTCTCAAAACTGCTTTTGCTGTGTCCCATAGATTTTGGATTGTTGTGTTTTCATTGTCATTTGTTGCCAGGATGTTTTTAATTTCTTCCTTGATTTCTCTGGTAACCCAGTCCTTGTTTAATAGCATGCTGTTTAATCTCCATGTGTTTGATTTCTTTGGATTATTTTTATTGTAGTTAATTTCCAGTTTTATGCCATTATGGTCTGAGAAGATACTTGATACGATTTCTATCTTCTTAAATTTGAAGAGACTTTGCCTATGTCCCAAAATGTGGTCTATCTTTGAGAATGTCCCATGTGCACTTGAGAAGAATGTATATTCTGCGGCTTTGGGGTGGAGTGTTCTGAAGATGTCAATTAATTCCATCTGGTCTAGTGAGTCATTTAGGATTGATATTTCTTTGCTGATTTTTTGTTTAGATGATTTGTCAAAGGGTGACAGAGGGGTATTAAAATCTCCTACTATGATTGTATTGCTATGAATCTCTCCCTTAATGTCCTCCAGCAGTTTTTTTATGTATTTGGTTGCTCCTGTATTGGGTGCATATATATTTACCAGGGTAATTTCTTCTTGTTGGATTGTTCCCTTTAGAATTATGAAGTGGCCTTCATTATCTCTTATTATGTCCTTCAATCTGAGATCTAATTTGTCAGATATAAGTATTGCTACCCCAGCTTTTTTTTCATTTCCATTTGCCTGGAAAACTTTTTTCCATCCCTTCACCCTCAGTCTGTGTGCATCTTTTTTTCTGAGGTGGGTTTCTTGTAGACAACAGATGTATGGGTCTTGTTTTCTTATCCAATCTGTTACCCTATGTCTTTTTATTGGAGCATTTAAACCATTTACATTTAAAGTTATTAATGATAGGTACTCATTTGATGCCATTTTTAATCTATACCCCTGTGTTCCTTCTTCACTTAATATTTCTTTATTTTTACAGTAGACCCCTTAGCATTTCTTGCATTGCTGGTTTGGTGGAGATAAATTCCTTCAGTCTTTTTTTGTCTGTGAAGCTCCTGATTTCCCCTTCAATTTTGATTGATAGCCTTGCTGGGTACAGTATTCTTGGATTCAGACCCTTTCTTTGCATGACTTTGTATATTTCATCCCATTCCCTTCTGGCCTGATAAGTTTCCGTTGAGAAATCAGTTGCTAGTCTGATGGGGGTTCCTTTGTATGTAACTTTCTGTCTCTCTCTGGCTGCTTTTAAGATTCTTACTTTGTCGTTGTTGTTTGCCAATTTAATTATAATATGCCTTGGAGTCTGTTTTCTGGGATTCATTTTGCTTGGGACTCTGCGAGCATCTTGGATTTGTGTGGGTTTTTTCTTCTCTATTTCAGGAAAGTTTTCTGTCATTATTTCTTGAAATACTTTTTCCATGTCTACCTCAGTTTCCTTTCCTTCTGGAACCCCTATTATTCGAATATTATTTTGTTTTGTATTGTCCCAAAGCTCCCGTAGGCTCTCCTCCTGCTTTTTAATCTTTTTTTCTAGAAGTTGCTCTACTTGGGTATATTTTTCCATCTTATCTTCTAGCTCACTGATGCGGTCCTCTGCTTCATCTAGTCTACTCTTGATGCTTTCTATTGAGTTCTTCATGGTAGCGATGTCATTTTTCATTTCCTCTTGGTTCTTCTTCAATTCCTCGTGGTTCTTCCTCATTTCTTCTTGGTTATTGTCAAATTTCTCTTCCATTCTTTTTAGCCATCCTATGATCATTATTCTGAATTCTTGCTCTGTTAGGCTGGTTGCCTCTGACTCTACTTCCTTTTCTGGTGATGCCTGCTTTTCTTTTATGTGCAGACTATGTTTTTGTCTCCCCATAGCCTCTCTTTTCAGGGTGTCTGGTTATGTGGTGTTCCTTCTGCTGCGTTGATTTAAAGGTACAATATACAACACTACCAGGTACAACACAAGAGGCACTTAACAGGAATGTATTTACAATATTAATAACCTCAAATAAAGGTGACCACTAGAGAAAGGCAACTTAGGGGTTAGGGGAGAAGGAAGAAAGGTAAAAATAAAATAAAGAAAATTTTTTATAAAATTAAAATGTAAAAAAAAATTAAGAAAATAAAATAAAAAAAGAAGGATAAAGAGATATAAAGAGAAGAAAAAAAGTAATGACAAAATAAAGTTGGAAAACAGGGAAAAAAAGAAAGGAGAGAGAGAGAGAGAGAGAGAGAGAGAGAGAGAGAGAGAGAGAGAGAAAGAAAGGGAGAGAAGAAGCAAACTAAAAGAGAAATGGGAAACAAACTATATATATGTGGAGAAAATTGCCATAGAACAACTACTGAACCCAGCCAATGCCAGTAACAATACTTGGAGATTAATACAAACTACAATATCCACTATTATTAAGTAAGTCTATGATATACAGAAGTAATAGAAACAAACAAAAACAGAGGATTTTAAAAAAAAATACAATGCAACAATAACAACACAGGAATAAGCATAACCATTTCACTAAAAAGCATAAAAATTCACAATAATCAACCCTCACACAAACAATGCGCAAAGGATAGAGGGGAGAACAGTTTTTGTTTTTTTTTAACTAGTTAATATAGTACAGAAATTGGTATTTATACACTTGGATCAGGGGTTGGAACTTAGGTCTATACGTATAGTGAGAGCTTTAGCAAGGGGTATACAGAAAGAATAGAGGAAAATCTAGAGCCGGAAAGGGATAGGATAAACCGTTGACTAAAAGGGTAAAGTTTAGTAAGAGAGTGATGGTGTAAAGGTCAAGTTGAGATAGGGTTGAATGGTGCTAAAGTAGTGATTAAAATAGAATGGAGGTTATTCCCAATGTAAAATACAGAAAAAAAATAAAATAAAATGGTACTGGAGAGGAAACAAACAGACAAACAAACAAACAAACAAACAAGAAAAAACAAAGAACAAAAAAAAAAAAAAAAAAAGGAAAAACAAAAATTGCAAAATAGCAATAGTAATAGTGATGATAAAGATTGAAAAATGTAATAATTGAAAAGGTAAAATGAAGTAAGGAAAAAAATAGAAAAAATTTTTCTTAAGTAAATGCTATAAAAAGTGAAAATTAAATAAAAGATGTAAAAAATGAAAATAAAATAAAGAATAGTAAAATTAGCATAAAAATGTCCAGTAGTGGTCATTCACTTCCTCTGTTAATGTATTTGGCACTCCTGATTCTCAGACCAGACAGTCTTGCAGGCCCCAGCATTCCACTGCACCTGAGTTTTGTAAGGTAAACCTTAATTTTAAGCAGGTTATATCTTAGTTATTTGTGTCCGTTTATTTTTGATTAATAAAAAGAAAAAAGAGAAAAAAAAAAAAAAAAAAAAAAAAAAAGAAAAAAAAGAAAAAGAAAAAAAAAAAAGGCAGTTTGTAATTCGGCTCTTAGGTGTCAGTGTTTCCGGTTTGACCTCCCAGTCTTTTTGGTTGCTCTGGCCTTCTTTCTCTATGGCTCTAGCTGGCTCCAGGACTATGTCTTCTGGCTCCAATCCCTTGTTTCCAGAAGGCAAATTCCCCCTACAATTTCCCCGGCTATGCCCCACTGGGCAGTTCTTCTCTAGTATTCAGAAGCAAGGGGATGAATGGGAACCGGTGCCAAGGTGTCCAGATGTTCCGCCCTTGGCGGGACAGCCGCTATTCTTAACACACTGTCCCTTGTCCCCTGGCGTTTTAAAAAAGCCCCTCTTCTGGGGGGGATTACTTCAAACCCAGCACTAGGTGTCGCTGTAGCCTTCTCTGGGCTCCGCTCCGCCTCCGCGGGCTGTAGTTCGCGCACCCGTCTACAGTGGAGGCAGGGCTGGAGCTCCCCGGCTACCGTAGCAGAGGCGGGCCGGAGCTCCCCGGCTGCCGTAGTGGAGGCGGGGCCGGAGCTCGCCGCCGCGGAACCCAGATCCCTCAGGCTATCCCCGCAAACTCTGACCTTTCCGTGGGTGACTGAAGATCTCCCCGGAATCCACGTGTCTGCGCAGCTCTGGGAGTCTCAGCTGCTCGATGGACCTCCGGGCTGTGCGTTTTCCACGCCTCAGAGAAGCTCTTTCCTTCCTGGCAAGACAATGCAGCCCTTCCTCCACGCCCGCAGCCCACCGCTCGCTGCCTCCGCCGCTGCGGCCGCGGCCGTCCTGACCGCTTGGTCAGGAAATCCTGTCCAGCGGACTCTCCCTTACCCTCCTTGAGAGCTCCGCTGTCCCTTAGCTGCCAATCAACTCTCCCTGAGCGACTCAGAAGCCCCCTTTATCCGTTCTGGGACCAGAGTCAGAATAGGTCCGACTGTTCGGTCGCCATCTTCAAGCTCCGCCAACAGTGGTCTATTTTTGTTAAACAGACAATTTGAACTAAGTATGTAGTCATTAAATTTTCTTATTGGATGCCTCCAATGGGGCAAGAACCATTCTAGATGATTGTGCTAAGCAAGACAGAGGTCCTGATCTTTTTCTTTTAAAAAATATATATTTTATTGATTTTTTACAGAGAGTAAGAGAGAGGAATAGAGAGTTAGAAACATTGATGAGAGAGAAACATCCATCAACTGCCTCTTGCACACCCCCCACTGGGGATGTGCCCGAAACCAAGGTACATGCCCTTGACCAGAATCGAACCTGGGACCTTTCCATCTGCAGGCCGAGGCTCTATCCACTGAGCCAAACCGGTTTCGGTGAGGTCCTGATCTTTGTAGATTTTAATTTCCATTTTGGACTACCAGCCAATAAATACTGTCTTATGACTGATCAGCTGTGATAAGTACAATGCAGAAAATCAAAGCAGAGTGATGCGATGTCGAGTTCAGACTGAGTGGCCAGGAAAGGCTCCCTTGTTGAGATGACATAGAGAATGACGCTCTGAGGAGCCAGCCTTGAGATGATCAAGGTGCACATTGTTCTGGGCAGAGGAAACAGCTGAGAACAGTGCAGAGGTCCCAAGGCAGGAGCAAGCCTGGCATGTTTGAGGAAAGGAAAGGAGGTGAGTGTAATGGACAAAAGGGAGAAGGGAGGAGAGGAAGTTCTGCAGATAGGTGTGGTAGAGTATGCATTCCAATGGAGGCAATTAGAACCCTCTGAGGGGATGAAAGTGGTCCAGAATCATGGAAAAGTTCTAGGGTGCAAAAATTTAGAATATCTTATGTATAAAGGAGATCTATAAAGCTGTAGCTTGTTTTGCTCAGCGGATAGTGTTGGCCTACAGACTAAAGGGTCCAAGGTTCAGTTCTTGTCAAGGGCACGTACCGGGTAGTGGGCTAAATCCCCAGTAGGGGGTGGGCAGAAGGCAGCTGATCAATGATTCTTTCTCATCGTTGATGTTTCTATCTCTCCCTTTTCCTTTCTCTCTGAAGTCAATAAAAAAAACAAAACAAACAAGCACACACACATTACATAACAGATATAGTATTATGTAGCATTAAAATTTCATGGTTGGAGAGAAAGGAAATACTATCTGAAAAGGCTCTGTAGAGAAGTGATAATGAAAAAGGTTGAGAAACATTGAACTAGAACTTGAACAGTCTTTCTATTATATGAAAAGAAAAGGAGAATTATTTCTTCCATTATCATAAGGCAACTAGAGGCTCAGTACCCAAATTACTGCATGGGTGGGTTCCCCTGATTGGCCTGCACAGATTTGGCTGAAACCAGCAGTCCAATGCCTCCTGCAGCTCCTACCTGCCACTCCTACTCATTCCAGCCTCACTGTGCCTGGCTAGGGCTTGGGCTCAATCACTTCTGTTTGGGAGAAGCTCCTGCTGTAGAAGCAGTGCTTGCCAGTCATGAGCCCTGCCTTTGGTGCTCTCCCAAGGGGAGTGGCCTGTGGGATCGGGTGATACCAGCTCTCCAACATTCCAGTAGGGGTCCTTGATTGTGAGAGGGCACAGGCCAGGCTGAGGGACCCCACTGGTGCATGATAGGGTGTGGGAGGGCTCCAGTATGTGTCTGGCCCAGTCCTGATCAGCTGGACCCCAGCAGCAAGGTAACCTACCAGTCAGAGCATCTGCACCCTGGTGTTCAGTGCACATTATAAGTAGTGGTTGAGCAGCCTTAGCATATTACGCTTTGATTGGTTGTTCAGTTGTTCTGCTGTTCGGTCTCTTTGCATATTACCCTTTTATTATATGGGATTTGTGGAATGAATCACAATTTGACTGAATACTCTTGGTGTCGAGGGACCGCTGAACTTCATGGCTCTGCTTTTCCTGAAAACCTGGCATCTTTCCTGTTCTTCACTTCCAATTTCCTGCGGGGACTTGCCGCAGGTCTCTCCTGACTTGTTCTTCCCTGTTCTCTTCCTCCAGCTGATAATGCCCCACCTGCAATACACCCTGGAAATTAATGTGCGGGCCAGGACTGGGCTGGTTTCCGAAAATGGCGTTTTTGACCAGGTATGAAGAGAGAATGGGGCTTCTATAGCTCATGCTCTCTCTGGCTCTGGCCTCCAGCAGGTGGAGTTGCCTGACCCTGCCCATCCTTGCTTCTCAGGTGGTGAGCACCGGTGGGGGAGGCCACTTGGAGCTGCTTAGGCGTGCTAGAGCCTTTTTAACCTATAGATCATTCTGTCCCCCTGATGACCTGGCTGACCGGGGGCTTCTGGGAGTCAAGTCTTCTTACTATGCTCAGGATGCTCTGCGGCTCTGGGAAATCATGTATCGGTGAGGCAAGGGGAAAGCAGGGCTTGTGGGGAGGGTGGGCAGTCAGGGAGTGGCTTGAGAGACCAGGTGACCTGTGTTGGAGGGCTGGGTGCCCTGACCTGGCCATGTGGGCAAAAGAGCAGAGGGCCTGGAGGCTCCCTGTGAGCTTCAGCTCTCTTGGCCCAACCCCTTGACTGACAGCTATGTGGAGGGAATTGTGAGTCTTCACTTTAAGACGGATAAGGCGGTGAAAAAGGACCTGGAACTGCAGACCTGGTGTCGTGAGATCACTGACATTGGCCTGCGAGGGGCTCAGGACCAAGGTGAGTTGAGTCCCTTTCTTGAGTGTGGAAAACTCCTCTTGGGAGCATCCCCAGAATCCTCCCTGCTTCTATGAAATTTCCCAGAAGCATGTCCAACCCCTATTAAAATGCCTAATGGCCTTTTCAGGTTCTTATGCAATAAGAATCCCTCTAGGTCCCAGATGCAGTGCGACCAGTGGTTGCTCATAAATACTTAATAACTGGCTCTCAGGAACAAAACAAAACAAAACAAAACAAAAACAAACAAACAAAACAAAACAAAACAAAAAAAGAGCCCTGATTTGTAGCATTTGCCCATTTCCTGGTGTATTTTCACCATAGCTCCCGTTGTGATGTCACCAGCTTGCTAAATACCCGAACATTTAACATAATGGACTCTTGTGAGCCAGTGTGAGCCATACTAGTACCCTATTGAGTAGAACCCCCTCTCCCCCATCCCTGGAGATCTCCCGGTTTCTCCCACCACAACTCATGCTCATGTCAGTGTCCACAATAGTTCCTCAGAGTTTTTGACACCCTTTCCTTTCTCTTTTATTCTCCCTGCTCAGCCTCTCTGAGCTCTGTTTCTGTTCCTGGCCTCCCAGCTTCTAACTGTCCTTACCTCCTGCAGGATTTCCCATGTCCTTAGAGTCCCGGGACCAACTTTGCCACTTTGTCACCATGTGCATCTTCACCTGCACTGGCCAGCATGCCTCTGTCCACCTAGGCCAGGTACTTGTTATAGGGAGGCAGTGGGCATTTGCTCCTAGAGTGGTGGCAGGGAGGGGCATTGGCTGTATGCAGGTGGTTAAAGGGTTTTTATGCTTAGCAGACTGATTCTAGATATCTGCCTCTTCTTAGCTGGATTGGTATGCTTGGGTCCCTAATGCACCCTGCACAATGCGACTGCCTCCACCAACCACCAAGGATGTGACACTGGAGACGGTGATGGCAACACTGCCCAACTTTCATCAGGCTTCTCTCCAGATGTCCATGACTTGGCAACTGGGCAGACGTCAGCCCATTAGTGTGAGAGCCAGGTGGCCTGGTCCCTGAGGAAGGGGGCAGCTGTGGGGAGGTGTGGGGCTCCAAACTGGGGTTCATAAGGCTCTTAGCTGCTTCTCTCTCCATCTCAGGTGCTTCTGGGCCAACATGAGGAGAAGTACTTTTCAGGCCCAGAGCCCAAGGCTGTGCTGAAGAAGTTCAGGGAGGAGCTGGCTGCCCTGGATAAGGAAATTGAGATCCGGAATGCAAAGCTGGACATGCCCTATGAGTACCTGCGACCCAGCAGAGTGGAAAACAGTGTGGCCATATGAGCACTGTGGTTGTTTCAGCATCTTCTCCACCCAACTCCCAGCCACATCCCTTAGAGCTTTTAGTCTTCCTCTCCCCAAGCATGCCTCCTTCTATCTCCACCCTCCATAGAGAGTCACCTTTTCTCTGTGTCTGTCCACAGTGAACATATTTTACTCTAGACTTACCACCTAGGGGGCTCATTCCTCCCTTATCCCTCCCACTTTTCCTATTGTCCTCCCCTCTTCCCTCATCACTGGGTTCTCCCAAAGGTAATAATCACACTTATATAACTTGTTTCTTTGAACTAGGGCAATAATATATATTACTCCACATGTTTATAATTTTTTTTTCAAATTTAATAAATCTTTATTGCTGAGATTACTACTATTGTTTCTCCTTTTGTTCTCCCATAGCTCCATTCCACCCTATTCCCACCCCACCCTGTGCCCTAACCTCCCCACCATTGTCCTCATCCATAGGTGTACGATTTTAATCCAGTCTCTTCCTGCACCCCCACACCCCTATCCCCCTGATAATTATCAATCAACTTCCTTTCGTTGTCCCTGATTCTATTATATTCACCAGTTTATTCTGTTCCTCAGATGTTTAATTCACTTGATTTTTAGATTCACTTGTTGATATATATGTATTTGTTGATCATATCTTTTTATCTTTTTTTTTCTTCTTCCTCTTCTTAAAGAATGCATTTCATTGTTTCATATAATACTTGTTTGGTGTCGATGAACTCCTTTAGCTTTTTCTTATCTGTGAAGCTCTTTATCTGTCATTCAATTCTGAATGATAACTTTGCTGGGTAGAATAATCTTGGTTGTAGGTTCTTGTCATACATCACTTTGAATATTTCTTGCCACTCCCGTCTGGCCTGCATAGTTTCTGTTGAGAAGTAAGCTGATAGTCGTATGGGTGCTCCCTTATAGGTAACTATTTTTCTCTTTCTGCTTTCAAGATTCTCTCTTTGTCTTTTGCTCTTGGAATTTTAATTATGATATGTTTTGGTGTGGTCCTCTTTGGATTCCTTTTGTTTGGGGTTCTGTGTGCTTCCTGGACTTGTAAGTCTATTTCTTTCACCAGGTGGGGGAAGTTTTCTGATATTATTTCTTCAAATAGGTTTTCAGTATCTTGCACTCTCTCTTCTTCTGACACCCCCATAATTCTCATGTTGGTATGCTTGAAGTTGTCCCAGAGGCTCCTTACACTATCTTCAGCTTTCTGGATTCTCTTCTCTTCTTGCTTCTGTGAAGGAGTGTCCTTTGCCTCTTTGTATTTCAAATCTTTGACTTGATCCTTGTGTTCCTCTAGTCTGCTATTGGATTTCTGTATAATATTTTTATTTCAGTCAGTGGATGTCTAATTTCTGGTTGGTCTTTTTTCATATCCTCGAGGGTCTCATTAAATTTATTGGCCTTTTCTAGGAAATTCTTGAAAAACCTTATAACTGTGGTTTTAAACTCTATATCCAGTCTTTTGTTCTCCTACATTTCTTTTGTTTGAGATCTATTTCCTTGTCTCGGCATTTTCGCTGCTTCCCAGAGTTGGTAGGATGGCTTTGTGTGTTTGGTGTCATATATGGCCCAGTGGGTCAGCCTCCCCAGTTATCTGAGGTAGACACTCTTGGTGCTCCCCTTTGTGGACTGCGTGTACAGCTTTGTTGTAGTTAAGTCTTGATTATTGTTGGTATCACTGGGAGGAATTGACTTCCAGGCCAGTTGGATGTAAGTATTAACTTTGTCTACACCAGGATAACTTCTGTATTGGAGATAGTCTTATAGGATAAGACTCGCAAAATTGCAAAAGCCTCTTTGCTTAGCTTGGATGGGGTGGAGTCTCAGGGCTGAGCCAATAGTCCTGGCTTCCAGTCAGTCCTGACCTTGTGCACAGGCCTCAGACCTCTGCCTTCTCTGGCTCCCCTGAGTTTCCTCCTGACAGTCCAGACTCCCCCTGTAAGAGCCTGGGTGTCCCCAGGGCTCAGCTGGAATTGGGTTGGGTCTCTGTAGTCTGGAGCTTTTGACTCCTTCCACTATGGAGAGGCCACGGCAACCTCCGCGGTCAGACCTCTTTGCGAGCACTCACTTGCGCATGACTGTAGACCCAGCAGGGTCTACAGTCATGCGCAAGTGAGTGCTCGCAAAGAGGCTGCAGCTCCTGGCTCCCCCAAGTCTCCCAGTCTCTGAGTCTTCGGGTGCCTTTCTCTACAGTTCAAATTCCACCCATGTGAGCCTGGGTTTATGGGGTTTCAGCCTGGTTTGGGACTGGATTTCAGTGCAGCCTGGGGCTTCCTTTCCCCTCCTGCCAGCCAGGCACTCGGCCGCCCTTCCTCTCTGCTTGTGAGCGTCTCCCTACTTCAGCACTTTGCGGCTCCCCTGATTCGTGAGTCTCTCTTCTTCTTTCTAGTTGTAGATTTTTCCACTCAGCCAGCTTTCCTGTGGTTTTGGATAATGTCCGTTCTGTCTTTAAGTTGTTGTTTTGAAATTGTTCTGCAATGTGGCAGCTTAGGTACTTATCTAGGCCGCCATCTTGGTTTCACTCTACATGTTTATAATTTTGAGTTTAACAATAAAAAAGATACTTTAGATTAATGAAAGAAAAGAAATTAGATAAAACTATCCTAAACCAAACACTGGCCAAAGAGTATAGAGCATGTCATTTTTAACTCGGTGAGATTTAACATGTCCTGAAGCCAGAGACAACACAGAGCAGACCATTGACAGGGCAATTGTCACTTTATGGCTCACTTGGAAAATGATACGGGTAATAAAGTGGTTAAATGAAGAAGCTGCTCCCAGCTGGAGGGATTTGGTCTTGGGGCTTCAGGCTGAGGAGTCCATACTTATAACCCATTTGCAGTTCACTAGCTGGGAGGCTCCAAATAAAAATAATGAACTGGAAAGATAGTAAAAATTTCATGGTGATTTTAATGAGTAACAACAAAGAAATTAATAAATTTCAACTTCTGTATCTTATTAAAATGAAAAAAAATAAACTTGGACCCCCCCCCCCCCCCCCGTGATGAGATTCAAGGGGATTTTAATTTTGTTTCTCAGAGGACTGAGATCCAGGATTCTCCTGGTAAGACTCACTCTTTCCTCTCATTGTCCCAATACACACACACACACACACACACACATTGGATCAAATGACTCTGGGTGAAATTAGAAGAAAAACAGACACAGAGGAGGTGATGATAGAAAGAAAAAGGAGGTTGGAAGCACTTATGACTTGTGACAGTCCTCTCCTCCTTTGTAACTACTCCCCCTCATAAGCCTGAACATCCCTAAGAAGCACTTGCTGCATAACCCATTTTGGAGGCAGGGGAGAGACAGGCTCTAACAGGTACAATGACTCATCCAGGATCAAGAAGAGGTATAAATGAGGGGTTGAGTCTGAGCCTAGGTCTGTCTCCTCAAATCTAGGACCCCGGCTGTAGCCAGACCTTCTAGGGGCTATGGAGAGGGGTGTGTTGGTGTCATTGTGTATAGTGTTGGCATTCCATGGAGAAGGTGGGTGAGTAATCAGCAGCCCACAGGACTATCTATAGCTGTTATTAGGTGAGGGGAGTTGGAGGGGGCAATCCCAGGATGTGAAGTTACTTCCTAATAGAACTCGGAACCCCCATAACCAGGCACTCACTTTCCAGCAACAGCCCAACTGCCACTCACTTGGCAAGAGACGGTTGACAGTTCAACATATTCTCTTGTTGCGTTTGCAGTTATCGGGGCTCCGATTCCCAGAGACCCTGCAGTGAGAGTTGTTTCAGACTCAATAGACAGTTCAACACTCGTGCCCGACACCTCTGGCCATTTTCAAGAAGATCCTGTCAGGTAAGAGGAGGTAGCCTGGGCCATTCATGCCAGGCCAGCCTCCTCTGTGGGCCATTCCTGTGCAGCCCACATGCCTTCCTTTCATGTGGTGGGAAGAGGACCTGAAGGGAGAACCCTGGGGCAGGAACAGCTTTTGGGGCAGCAGATAACCTGGAGGTCCTGCTGTGATAACACTTCAGGGCAGGGCAGGTAGTTGGAGATGGGCTTCCAGGGGGGTCCCTTATCTGTGCCAATGGGTGTCCTAGCCCTCAGGCTGTCACACATTTTCTTCGCCAGTAGAGGTCGTAGCAGATCACACTGTGTGTGTGTGTGTATGGAGTGAAGGGTCATAGGGTTTAGAGAACTTACAAAAACAGGCTCTGAGGCTTTCCCCTGGTGACTGGGAACTGTCTTTGTAGAGTTCCACACAGGAGAACAGAGAATGGCTAACAGATGGGGTCCTCAACTCCATGCCCCTGCAGGAGGGACAGGTGTCCCATCCATCCTCTAGTGTGCAGCACAGCCACAGGGTGAGTATAAGTGCCCAGTTGTCCCAAATGCCAGAACCCCAGGGATGCACTAGGACTCAGGTTCCAGAAGACACCCTGCTACTCCCCTGAGATTCCTCCAAGCATCCAGTTTCCAAAGGAATCTGGGTCCCCATCTCCTCCAGGTCAGGAGCTGGGGCCTCCCTGGGCTGCACATAGTACCAGGACGGGGAATGGTTATCATGGCGATCCATGTCTTCATTGCTTTGGGACCTGTATCTTATCCCCTTCTGTTACCATGACAACAGTGCCACCCTGTACACACCACATGTCCTAATATCCAGACCCTCCACCAAAGGAGAAGCCTCTGTGTCTCATCTTACATTGGGATGTTTTGTCAGAAATCACAAGGGTGACACTGTTAATAAAGCATGTGCTGTCTGTCCCCTACTAAGAAAATGACCTAAGATACTGATGTGTTTCATATTCCTCACCTTCAATTATACTTTTCCTGCCAAGAACCTTTTCTCATCAATGTAAAAAACATTCAAAGCGGTGAAAAAGTTTTGTGTGTTTATTTGAACCAAACTGTGGACAATTGCGGGTGAGCAAAATCTCAATGGGTTGAGAGAATGCTTCAGAGACTGACAATTTTGCACCTTATTTTGTAAGTTACAAGTGCAGACTTATGTGGGTTGCATAAAATCCATGGGT